GGGCAAACCCATGTGGGGCCACCATGGAACCCGCGGACAAACCCATTTTAGCCATTACCGGCAGCTTACGTCCCCAGTTGTGGTCAGCCAACGTTCAGTTCCTCGTTTGAGCAATGAAGTGCAAGCTAAACGTCATGTTAACAGGAAGCTGCACATATGTGCATGCATACGCATCTGCAGAGTGTAAGTTAAAACCGCACCATTTTTTTTCCACAGCATTTAAATAGGTGAATCTACACCACAGTGCGAGTTCTAGGGAACTCTACACACTAACGGACTACAAAGCAAGCAAACGGGAAAAACACCCACCCTTAAAAGAAAAATAAGATGTGCAGAAAGACTTTACAAGTTTCCATTTTATTGGTGTACTTCTGACAATAACAATGATGGTATAAAAGAAAATCTCCATCATACAAATTTCAATAATCAAATGATAATATGCCAATACACAAACAGATCCACATAAGGCTGACATCAAGTTTTGACAAGTGGCTTCGAATGGCTTCAATTCAAGGAGACGGGTCTCTCCTTACAATCAAAGAATAAATATTTTTGAAGATATTTTAGTTATCTTGTCTCCTTTTCTTCTTAAATAGTTAATACAAAAAAGAAAATATTTGTGATTATTTTTGCGTGGATTGTGTCGCTGGTTTGGGTGCCTTTGTTACTTTGCGATGTAAGACTTCTTTTTTTTATTTATTTATTTATTTATTTTTGGCTTAAATAAAAAAAACAAAAAAAAAACATCTTGCAGTGCTTTCCTGTGACCTCCACCTAAACTCAGATGCTGTCACACGGACATTCTCGTGCGAGAATCGGTGCCGATTTCCAACACGATGCGCTTCTCCCGTTTGCCACAGCAAGCTAAGCATGGTGGAGACACTGGAAGTGCAAAACTCTGCGATTATGAGAGGAATTTTAAATCTTATGGAATTTTTTTTTTTTCTCAAAAAGAAGAAAAGAAACAGCTTGTGCTTGGAAGCAGTGATGTAAAAACATTGATGTGTAAGCTCCACTAGCACTTAAATGGCACCAGATAAACCCCGAGCCAACCCCCCGTCTCTCCCCCACCCTCCTGAAGCCTTGTTCTTTATGCTAGCATCTGTAGTGATTTAAGACCTTAATAGAATTTCTAAAACACTACACACAACAACGATATTTACAATGATCATTTTCTTGATATGCACTTCTTTTTCAATTTAAATATTCTTGCTTTATAAAAAAAAATAAAAACTCAAGTGAAAAAACACAAACCAGAACGAAAAACAAAACAACAACAACAAAAAAAAGAACTACTGCAATAAATTAAAAAGCTTTAAGGCTGCCAGTCTTGTCAGATGCCCAAAGAATGGTCCCTTCATTTAAACTGGCACAAAACGGATTGGGACAGGTGAGATTAAGATATGAAGAAGCCTCTTGGGAGAGAGTCTCCGCCTGCTCTCCTCACACTGGAATCAAATATTTACCATTCCAAACACAAGTCCCTGGTGAGTAAACTAGTGGCCAAAGCTGTTCAGTAGTTTCCAAAGAAAATAAGTGTGGAAAGTGTAGAGCTGATGCGGCTGCTCATCATGTATGGTGAACATAGAGCCTAATACTGACTCTGAAAACGCAGAGGGCCTCTTTAGATCGAGGATGTCACAGTCTGAATCTTCACCTGAACACACACACTGAAAACCATTTGGCTTTTGCTATATGTCCATTTAGCTTTTAATTTTAATTTAAAGCAATGAAAGTTTTATATATATATATATATATATATATATATATATATATATATATATATATATAGTTGTGTTTAGAGATAATATACAGCGTATCATGTAAATGTGAGGAACTATACGGAGAACTTGCCAGCTGTTCACTACCAGGAAATAAAAACAACTGTTCATATCAGTGCTGGTAAACAAAATCCAAAACATAAAAATACAAAAGAAAAAAAAAAAATTGAAAAGAAGGTTCATATGGAGGATGGTTGCACCTCTGAAAGGTTTAGCCATTTCACTCAAACACACATGGAAAAGAAAACTTAACACAACTGCTTGCTACTGTCCCTGACTTCCACTGGGCACCTCCGTAATCTGGAGCGAGGAGGTTTGCATGATTCGTTTCTGAGAATGAGCCACAGCTCTTTCTAAACACACAGATCGTCTCTGAAGTGTAAACACCACTGTTAGAATTCCAGGCTGCGGTGATTTCAGGAAGCAAAACTGATTTCACTTAACTTTGCATCCTTAATTCAACACTTTGATGAAGCATACTTTTGATTCAGTTTCAGCATTCGGTCTTTTTTAGGTTCAAATCTGCCATTGGTTATTGTGATTCTGATTCATGTGAAAACAGAGGCCAGATGTCCTGATGGGATTGTTTTACATCTGTGGGATTTAAGTTAAAAAGAGCGATGGCTTTTCAATTTCTTGTGAAGAAGTTAGAAAGAACCAAAACTCAGTCAGAAGGAGGGTGAAAGACATCCATATTATATGTACTCCTGCTAAAAAAGTCTCCACTGATTGGAGAAAATAAAGGGGTAGATGTAACAAAATCTAGATATTCCTCCAAAACCGAAGACATACCAAGATGGTAACTCGTCGCTGTGGTTACCAATAGCCTGACAGCAACACTGAAGGAGCTGCAGGAATTTCTGTCTGGTACTGCTTGTTCTCCACGTGTGAGAAGAGTATTCTCCATATGTGCATTGTTTTTCTTTTTTTTTAATGCTAATGTCTCCTAAAATGTTTCATGATTCAAAACTTCGACTGTTGTGCCGCTAAAGATATTTGGAACAACCACAAACTACACACCGCCACACTGAAGCACAGTGTGGCAAAGGTGGATGAAAACATGATTCATAGTTTGGGATTGATTTTGTCTGCTATAAAGCAGAAGATGAGGAAAGATTTAATTTTTCCTACAGCGTACTCCAAAACCAATAGGAAAAACACCTCACTAGAAGTTTTTGAATGGCCAAATCCACAACTACTGTAAGCGTAACAGAAAATATAAGGGATCACCGGAACATGGATAAGAAATGTCCTCACAATCTGACTAATTTATAGATTTGGAGCAAATTAAGATGCGACATCCTCCTCTGTTTTTTTTTTTAGTAAAGAAATTTACAATGCCTCATTGTCTTAACCAACAGAAACCTGGTATTTGAACAGGGGTGTAAGCACTACTGAGATCTGCTAGCATAACAATTCACACATGGGTTAGTTTAATGTGGCAGGATGAATAAATTCACTGAATGATATCATAATAGTATCTAGCCCACATGATGGATAGATGAAATGAAAGAGCCAGAAGTCTGGATAATGTTTTTTTTGCCTCTCAATATCACATCGCGTCCCGGTAAAATTGGCTCCAGTAAGTACGTCCTCCAAAGGGAGCTGCGGCAGGTCAGTACCATTGATTATCATCAGTGTAATGGAGGTGATCAGTGAAAGAAAGTGGCCACTAGCATTTTTTTTTTTTTTAACTCTGTCTTGCTCTTCCTGTGGTTATCACACAAAATGGCCTCCTCCAACGCCTCTGCTCAGAAGAGTAATAACACCAAGCTACAGTATGGGTGCCATTCCATTTCATTTCATCTCTTTAGCGACGGCGCAAGTGGCGCCGCCGCTGAAGAGAAATAAGATCCGTGTCTGAATGAAACGGAACTGCCCCCATTTACACAGAACCGAACCTCAGAATCCCACACTACTACACACAGCTATGATTCAGTGCATCTAACACAGTCTGTCACTTCCTAAGTCATCACGTCAACCCGCAAGAAAAATAAAAACTGAACAATTAAAAGTAAGTATTTCGTCAAATAAATAGACAAGAGGGCCAGCCCCTTTTAGTTTGTATTTTATCGTTGAAATCCAACATTTTTTTTTTTTTCTCGATTACGTACATGCCTCCTAGGAGAAACATGTTTAGAAATGTATACAAGGCGATTTGTGTGAAATGATGTAGCTGCATGACAAGAAGACAGTGAGGAATATATGTCTGTGTGATATCTTCAAAAATGGAACTACATTGGTTTGGGGATGTTTGACCCCCAAAAACGAACACTGTTAAACAAACAGAGAGGAGCTGCTGTGTATTTTGAGAGGACTGTCAGTGTGTGTCATAGCACAGTGTCAGGTAGCATGCCTCTCCAAAATAAAATAAAAATCTCTACATAGATCAACACTTCAACGTTTGATTTAGACGAAGAAAAGCTCGGACACGAAGCCAATCAGTAGTAATCACATGACACCGTCATTCAGATCGTCTTTTTTTTTTCCCCCCCAATCAGATAATCTTTTTTTTTTCCCCACCTATGTGAGGAAATAAGGGTCAATTTAACAAAAAAGGCAGCTGCAAAAGGGTTGCTGAACAGATTAAGATGTTTGCAGCACCCTAGGTGGAGGAAGGCTGGCTACAAACACAAGACAAGCTCGAGATTCTGTAAACACCAGTGATGGTGACACAAGTCAAGTATCTGCAAGCTCCAGTTTTATGTTGTAAAAAAAAAAAAAAATTGAAAGTGAGTAAACATTAAGAACGTAGGGGGTCTAAAAATACACCTGCACCTATTTCTTTCTGACCTAGATTTACATGCTGCACGCAGAGTGAGGTCTAAAGTCGGCCAGAGAAGAGTTGGGAGACGACGTCTCCTCCTTCCCTGGCGACCAGATGCATGCAGGCCATTTGCATAGCTTGCCCTCACTCGCACACAGATGTAGACACAAGATAGACGCGAGTTCTGGGAAAAAGAGGAAAAAAAAAAAAGCAAAAAAAAAAAAAAAACAAGGGGGCGCCACGTTTTGCTTAAGCAAAGCTGAGCTCAATTTAAGGTTTGCATACGCAGTCACACCTTTTCTTTAGTCCAACAAGGGAATGCTAGCACCCATGCTATTGCATCTGTACAATAAGGAAGTCAGGGCTAAGTTCTGCTGTCTGATATTACAGCTTATTGCTAACAGGATGAGCATTGCACTCCAACATACAGCCACTAGCAGGCAGCCAGAACATTCAGTGAAACAATGCAAACACAAACGTCACAGTCTTTAAATGGTATGTTCACAAGACGGAATACGAATGATTAAGGAAATAATTGTTTTTTTTTTTTTCTTTTTTTTTTTTTTTTAACTTGGAATAAACTATTTCTCGCACAATATATCATCTTCTCTATCTATCTTTACTTGTAGATTTGGCATTCCTATTGCAGAACCAGCTGCATGAATCCACTCAACTGAAGTTGCTGTGTGGCGCTGTAAGGGTTGTGTGCACATGCAAATGTTTTCACAGGCTTACTGCATTTATGAAATCAGAAGAGCAAAACTGAAATCAAAGACCTAAGCTCCAGCGCCCCCTCCCACCCCCATGTCAGCACATGCAAGTACAGAATCCTGTGTGCGTACATGTGTGACCAGTGTGTGTGTGTGTGTGTGTGTGTGTGCGTGCGTGCGTGCACGTGCTTGAATGTGTAACCTAATTCCGTAGTCAAGCACAACAGCTCAGGGGGGAGCTAATCAAAAGAGAAAATAAGGAACAAACTTGACAAATGGGATGCTGAAGGCCAAAATGGTGCAAAAGGCATGTGGAGACTGACGTGTACACAAGCCCAGATGAAGAGTAATGAACTGTGGCACGAATAAGTGCAGCATTTATCCCTTCTTTTTTTTTTTTTTTTTTTTTTTTTTTTTTTTTTTAGATGATTTATCAAATCTGCTAATTTGAGTCTCCATTTCAGTTTTTTCTGTTTTTACATACAAACAAACACAAAGCAAAACAAAACGAAACACAACAAAACAAAAAACAACAACAACAACAAAAAAAAAACTAAGTCCTAAGCAGTGCTGCGACTGGTGAGATATGGCTGATGTCCTAAAGGACTTTTGATTCCCAGGTGTTTTTGCAGTCCAGCTCTGCCTACGTCAGTAGTCAGCCACAGGTGCAAGCTTTCTGCTCAAGCTGACTGTGATATTGGTGAAGAGTCGACTTCTTGAAATTAGGGGTGAATAGTTTAGGTTATTAAGACCATCCACTTTCTGTCTCTCCTTTGAGTGACGTAGTAGACTATACCTGTGAGTAAAAAAACAAAAAACAAAAACAGAAGCAAAATAAATCAATCATCTGAACAGCAGAAAACCACAACAGTACATGTACCAATTAGACAGAGGCAATATATGGTGAAATACAACAGTGAACTGGGAAACAATGTGGAGAATAAGCAAAGAAATTCACTCTCTAGATGTAAAAAGTGGGAAGACATACAATGGTTGTATTCCCCGGAGTTAGGAACCACAGTCAGGCCCAAATATTATAAATCCATGAATACGTGAAACTGCCTCTATAAAAGCTTACAACTGCCTAATTAAATAGCTAAAACACCAAACGTACCTTAATGTTCATTAATACATTCAGTGGAAACTGCCTTCGCACTACTTTTCAAAAGAATAAATTTTTTTAATTAACTCTTCTCAAAGCAACAATGTTTCCTCTGCTCGTTTTATGTCACATAGGAATCCAGCCCCGCAGCATTCAAACAACGTCACATGAAAAGTCTTTAAGTGAGTTGAAATTCACTCAAAGTCACCACTTTGCCTTCTCATGTGACTGGCTTACATCACATGAGTGTAAGCCTCGCCGGAGCTATCAACTCCTTCTTTAACCAAACGCTGTTTGGCGGGTTGTGCCTTTGGAAATGAGCCGTGTGTATTTGAACACCCACCTTCCCAGGAACTGGGCTTCTCCACGATGGTGATGCGGGATAGACATGTAGCGTCCCAGGTCTCCATGCGGTCTGCTTACACTGTAATTGGCAAACTGCACCCTGTGCAAACAAATTTACTGATTTTAAACCAGTAGTGTACACAGTTAAATAGAAGCTTTTCAATATTAGCGCTCACTGAGGCATTTCCGTAAACCACCATGCTATCGTGTTACAGTTTTCAATAACATGATATTGACGTTTGTTTGTCCAGTCACTGCATGCAAAAGAGGCTCTCTTGACAGGGGAAAAAAAAAAAAAAAAAAGCATAAGTCGATCAGTTGAAGTCAGCAGATTATACTGGAAGCCCAGTACAGCTGCCTGTGTGCTGTGTGGGCGGTGGGAAATGCTGTGCGGCAAAGAGCCACATGGAGGGGAAAAAAAAAAAGAAGGAAAAAACAGCCAACACAAAGGCCTGCTATGACCGACCTGCCCAACTTATCTAGTAAGAACGTCCAAAGCTAACAATGCAGCAAGCCTGGTGCTGCAGCAGCATGCAGTAAGCTGGAGTCTGTGTGTTTTATGTGCTGTTTTCCCTACCTGTTCCAGAGGTCATCGTCCTCGCCTCCCCAGCCCCAGAACGCATTGGGAAATCCATTAATTCTTTTGAACTGCTTCACCATCAGGCCACTGACACCACCAAAGAACTCATTATATGGAAGCCTTGGGGGAGATAATAACGCATAGATTCAGTATAATATATATATATTTATTTATTTATTTTTTATTTATTTATTTTTTTTTTTCCAAAGGAACAAAGTGGACACTCACATGTAGGAGTACTTGTCAAGTTTGACCGCAAAATGTCGGGGCATGTCCGTGCAGCCGTAGTAGTTCCGGTCGTTCTCCATGAGGTGGTCCACGTCATGGAAGATCAGGCAGTCCCAGTCCAGGTCCTTTATGGCCTCCTTAAAGCCCACGTTGAACAGCATGGCTCGGTTAAATGGTTCTGTTCCTCCCTGAAGAAAAAAGAGAGGGAATAAAAACAAAAATATTCAGCCATTTCTGACAGAAAAACACAGATGGAATTTTTCCAAGCGTGGTTTTACAGGGACTTCTCTTTATGCATGTGTGTGTGAGTGAGTGTGCATACCTGCTCAATGACATATAAGGCAAACTGGAGTCTCTGCTTCTGCAGCACAGGCACCAGGTGTCTCAGTAGGATGGGCAAGTGTTCGTGACGATTCCTGAATGGAACGAGGATTGCCACCTGAGGATGGAAAACAGCAGATAATACAACAGATATCAACTGAGAAAAAAAGACAACTAGAGCAAGCTGAATGTAAAAATATACAGGGCTGCTGTGTATTTAAATGAGAGAGCCGTTTAGTTTGTTCTACTGAGTTTGTTAAGAGTTTGTCAGAGCCTGGAAGTCTGGCATCCTAGAAGGAAAATATGAAAGTCTGACAAAAAAAAAAAAAAAAAAAAAAAAAAAAAATCGCAAACAGCAAACTAATCTACACAATTAGATATGACATTTCCGACTTATAATCAGCACATGCAAGTGGGATTTTTTCCAAATTCAGTGAAATGGTCAAAAATAAAAGGGTTCATAGGTAGTTCATAAAAATGATAAAGTGGCTTTTGCCTACCAACAAATTACTGATCACTTATCTGATAGTTTGCAGAATTACAAATAAAAAAAAAAAAAAAAAGGAAGAGGGCATGATTTCTCTGTTAAAAAAACATAGCAAACAAGGCTTGCTTAAAAACAAACAAGTAATGTGTTTTTTGCATTTAGAGGCAAGTATAATTGCTCTGTTTGCTTCTTGTACTGTGTGTGTAAGTTGTTCCTTTTTTTATGGCAAACTGATTGACCACATAATTCTCCATCAAAGCATAAACAGCAAAGTGCACAGACCATATAAGAAATGTCATGCTGGTTAATTAGGCTACTTAATAATTCCAGTGAAACACAAGCTAGATGAATCATTCTCTGGAAAGACGCAGCTGTGTTTGCTATCAGAGATTGAAAAAAAACAACAAAAAAAAAAAAACAGGGCAGGTACGAAACCAAATGCAGTTCAACAGTTCAACTGACTAATATCCCCTTTACAAAATGCTAATAGGGAAGTTGGAACCTTAAAGCAGAACCAATCTTTTTTAAATATTTTCTTATCAAGCTCTGCTTGCAGTACACTGTTGGCTCCAGTTTACTGCAGAGAAACAATTCAAGTTCAGATTTTTTTTTTTTGTATTTAGGATTTTCAGTTTTGTTTTGCACATCTAAAACTTTGAGCATTGGCATTAATAACAGCTTAAGGCTAAATAATGCATATCATCAGATCTAGTTAATCAACCAGCCATGATTTTGGTCTGTATAGCATTTATTTGGTGTAATACCCGCACAAAAAATACCACTGTTGTGCACATCTGATGGATTTAATTGCATTTCTCAACAGGTTATTCTGCAAAAAGTTTTTACCATTCTGGCATGTACACAGGACTGAATACAAATGGATTGTGCCATCTTCTCTGGTAATTATCCTGAGGTTGGCTGTAGAGACATGATCCCTGTAGCTTGCCCACATTAGGTACCCAAATACAGGTGATGGGTGGCACTTACTTTTTACCATGACTGTATTTTTCATGATGAGAAATATTTCCATTCCAAATTGCTTAGGAAGGCAATGGCCTGGCCAGATCAAATATTTACTAGTAAATGGCTGCCTGGCCAGCACAGTAAATATTCGATCTGGACCTTCCAGGAAGGATGAACAGCAATTCTGTAACAAGTCCAACAATTTGTAAGACGCTTTTAGTAACCTTTTGTGCCCCAAAAAGGAGCAGTCGTGCATTTGCCAATCCCACTGGCCAGTCGGTTTATGCTCGTCAACCCGCTCTGCTTTTGAGAGTGCCATACACACAAGGACACTTACCTTCCAGCGAGGTAAACAGTCTTTGGGCTTCCAGAAGCCTCCCAGAGCCATGGTGGGCTCTCGCTCCAGCAAGGACCTCTCCACCTCCTCCAGAGATATTTCACTCATGTTCACCTCCAGCCTGCCCTCTGAGAGAGGAAGGAGGAAGGGAAAGGAGCAATAAAAGTCAGAGATTAGAGGAGGCAAAAAAAACACCATAACAATGGGAGAAAAGAGGAGAGCACGAAGTCAGCAGAAAGACAAGAAGTGCAAAAACAATCAAAGTAACATAATGAAGTTGAGCAATGTTGGGCATATGTTTCTAAGTGATTATGTAATAATTGTGTACTCGGTTTGTAAGCAAAAGGAAGTCTAATCCAAAATGTCAACAGTGTGCTTACTCATAGAGGGCAGCTTCTCAGGGCAAACCTGCGAAGGGAGGTATGTGAAACCCTCAGGGAGGTAAGTGGTGGGAGGAGCATCGCTCTCGCTCTCGTTGAAGTCATAGGAATAATCTGGGGCCACAAATGAACAAGTTTCAAAAAGACATCAAAGGAAACCTAGTCTTTCTACTGAATAACTGTCAAGTTATCATTCTTCCACACGACTGTGTGTAAGACATAAGAAAACATTTCTGTATTAAACATAGTTTGGTGAAATTAAGCATTCTTATTTTCTGGGAACTGAATTTTGGTTCTTCATTAGCTGTAAAGCCACAAACATCCAAATGAACAGACATAAGCATCAAAGATCCACTTATTCAAATGACGTAATAAAATAAATTATATTTTCAGTGATGTTCAAATGCATCTGCATGCTTGGTTAGTTCAATATACATTCACTTTCCTAAATATTTACATCTCATATAGATTTTAGTGACAAAAATGCTGAAGCTCAGAGAGGTTGTTGAGAAGAAAAAAAGGAAAGGTGAAAATCTCAATTAACCACAGCTGATATCATCATTGCAACACTGAAAAATAATGTTGAAAGTGATCACAATAAAAACTAATAGAAATTAAAACTTGAAATTATGTCACTCTGTGCCTGGTGACTCTAGTAGAGTATCACCGTTTGAAATAAATTATTGAAATTGAATAAAAATTTGATGAATATCTATCGCCCTTAAGATATTGCTGTATGTGCTGGTATTTACCTGTGCCATTGATGCTGTAGGCCCCTCTCACAACTTGCTCCAGGACCTGAGCCCCTATGTTCCTCACGTTTTCTCTAATCTGGATGCCTCTGGCTTGGACCATGAATACATACTCATTCACTGTAAGCAGGAGAGAGAAAATGAAGTCGAGTGAAATTATTACACTCAGATAGGGTCACAGTACAAGAAAAATGCTAAACACCTATACCCTTTTTACGGTCCTGTGCAAGACCTTCTTCATTTTAGTTAGTCACATACTGTTGAACAATAAAGGCCAATACTCATATTTAAGGAAGATCACGTGTGCTTTGCGCAAGCAAATGTCCTTTATATTAAGCAGAAACATGTTGTGTTTCTGCTTAATATGATGATAGATGATTCAATAATGAGAACTTCCTAAGCATATATCAAGGAGGAAAAGGGAACAACTGAATGGTTAATTTTTAAAAAAGGGGTAAAGTAGGAATAGAAGAGACTCAGGAGATGATGTAGCTAAATTAACTGACTGGTTACTGCTTTCAGTGCTCGATAATGGGAGCGCTTCATCTTATGATGCACCACTTTTTCCATTCAACACTTACTACACTGTCAATAGTTGAGTATATTTTTGCTGGTAATAGGAAAACATAAAAGGGGACAAAAATGATAAGGGCACAAAAAAATTGCAAGAGAAAGAGCCAGAATTAATATGGAAGGCAATATAAGTTTTTCGGAGCCATTTTCGTGTTTTTTTTTTTTTTTTTTTTTTTTTTTAATGATGCCTTTTAAAAAAAATGCTATTTCAAATCTTCTAAAACATCACCTCATGTTTCCAGGTTAGAAATTGTCTTTTAAGAGAGCATTTGTCATAGACCATATTTTATCAAAGAAGCAGCTTCAACTTGATGAGAGTGGGGTGACCTACATAACACCACCGCAAAGGTTAACCTCCCGGAAAAAAAGAAGCAGCAAAGTGGAACATTGAAGGGTTTATGGTCTAAATGAGTCAACGTTTTAATTGAAAATAAAAACACACTGGCAAACCACTCAGACCTTCGCAAACCTAGCATGAAAATATATATATATGCATAGTGAAATTCAAAATTCAAAAGCAAAAAAAAAAAAAAAAAAAAAAAAAAAACCCACATAACACAAAATCCCCCAGGGACTTTTGCGG